TCGTTGGGAGTTTTATAACTCCTCCTCGTTTACTTAGGTACGACTTAACTTGTTTCCAGCAGAGGTAAAATCAATTCCAATAGGTCGCCCTGTCCATGCTGAGATTTGACAATCACTCACAGAGGTCCGTCGTTCGCTTTGTCGCGGGTGCCCCACCCTACAAAACACTCAGATGAGAGCAAGTGGCAAACAAGATGCGTATGTGTTGTAATTTCGCAGATATCATCATGCGTAGGTATCGCGGAGCTGCTTAGCAGTCGAAATATGTTTCTGTTTATGATCAGCATGACTGACTTATTTTAAGAGCCTTCATTCGTAGTATCATGATCTGCCCTCGCCGCAGAAAGTTGTTTTACGTATTAAACACCCATATTGCAACACCCGCCGCTTTCTTAAAAGAGGTAGACGTGAAAGGACCAAACTTCCGAACATAACCCTCCAATTATCGAGGTTCTTGACGGTTAGACAAGAGCTTCAATCGCTTCTGATGAGCCTAATTGTCCGGTGTGAACACCCAGAATCAGTTCTTTCCACGCTGAATAGGACCTTTACTGAAGTATTGCATCTGTATGCCACTACTCGCGCGCAAAATCGCAACCGCGACGCGCTGTGGCTAATTTAGTCCATAACCAAATCTATGGTCAGCTTAATTCTTCTCGGCCGGATGAAAAATGTTTCTTCGTCCAGGTCCCTAAACGTCCGTATGCTAAACATCAGCGGCTACACGGTCAAAGTCATTCCATCTTCGATGAAACCCGCTCGGAAATGGCGCTCCAAGATGTTCCTCACACAAGTGCTAGTAAGCGCAACAGAAAATACCTCATATCCTGCACGAAAAAAAGCTCTGGATCAAAGATTCTTCATTCGCATATGCACCGAGGGTGTGCTCCGCTCATAAGCAGAATCAGGGATCTTTAAAGTTACTAAGTAGCTGTCTTAGTTCAAGAGCGAGATATAGTTATAGATTTAATCTTCTGAAAACAAATACTATAACTTACTATCTCCAATTCTAGCGTGAGGCTAGAAGTCTACAAGCCCCACGGACCCCTTTTGAACGGAGTGGCATCGCCCTCATCGAGAGCGGTACTTTGGCTTTTCAGAGTGTGAGTATAACAGGTCCCCCGTCACCCGACGTGTTCCACGGACCTCTTAATCACCCTTAATATTAACGAAAGCTAATACAGGCTTTTCATCACAGAACTTTGGTGCTTTTGAGCTTATCTTGTGAATGTACATCAAATAGGGTTACCCTGGGTTATACTGTATATTAGTATTAAGCTAAGAAATAGGCTTTAATAAAACTAATATACAACAAAATTACCAGCCAGACTCAAGTCTTAGGCAAAAAACATGGACCAAGGATCATAAACTACCGTTCAGAATGTGCAATTAGCCCACTATGAGGAGTGCTTTATGTAGATACGTACGCGCTTTGCGGCATCGCGACTTCGAAGTGAAAGCAATGTAAATGTTAATCGATTAAACTTGCAAACGATTAAGATACGTACGCACTCGATGTATCATAAAAAAGTAAAAATGTGCTGTTAGAATGACTGGCAAATTGGCTTGCGAAATTTTGGATGCACTACCGCCCAACGCATTTTAAATTCAATGTTGAAGCAAGCTGCTGTAGCCGCTTTCACTAAGATTTAGTCTTTCACTCGTCAAAATAGTAAAAGCCGATTACTGGGTGTGCTTTTTTACTGTTCCACTTCAAGAAGAGTTCTCGTTATAAAGGCATCTGAGTAAGCGATATATTTAAAAAAACTTTTGTTCATCATTCCACATTATGGGATTGCTGACGCTATAAATTTAAAAATCACTGTATATTTTAATTGCTAGTTTACTCCTGTCCTACATAGTGCACGAATCCAGTACTTGTGATTACCTTACGTGCCATTAATAACCACAGTCCCCAAGGTGAATCCAAAGCAAATAGATGAATATGTCGTGACTGCGAAGAGAAGGCAACTTAGACAAAAGTCAATGCCGATTCATGAATCCTCATCTCATTTAGAAAAACAATGAGCAGACACGCTGATTGCTGGTCGTTCTTAAGCGCGTACACGTATACGGGTCGGAGGGGATTCTCGCGTGTTTGCCGAGGAAGTCACTTCAGTATTCTCAGTTTTGGTTGTTTTGACGTGAGCAGGAGGATTGGGTACCGAATCGCCACTTTTGAGTTTTTGAGCGTGATCAGTGCCAGGAGTCATGACAGCATCCTCCGGGTTGGTTTCTTCGAAGCGACCAGTCGAAGTTGTCATTTCAGCATCCTCAGTTTTCACACGAACAGGTGGGTTGAGCACCAGATCGTCACTTTTGAGTTTTTGAGCGCGATCAGTGACAGGAGTCATGACAGCATCCTCCGGGTTGGATTCTTCGAAGTGATCAGTCGAAGGTGTCACTTCAGCATTCTCAGTGTTTTCTTCAATACGAGCAGACGGATGGGTTTCCAGATCCTCATCTACCGTTCTTTTGGCGCGATCAGTTGCATAGATGGCCGGATCACTAGGTGCAGATTCACCAATGTGAGTAGTAGAATGAGATTCTGGAGCGTAGGGCAAATGAATCACTTGGGAATCTCGATTTTGTAAGAGGTTGTTGTGAATGCCGATTGACGGAGAAGGGTTCACATTAACACCGTCAGCTGCTGGAAATCTTGTATAAGAAGGAGATAGAGGCTTGTTGATTGTAAAGCGTTTTGCTCTTAAAAATTGGCGAATCAGATCAGGGCCAATTTTCTCGAAGCCTGGCGAAGTTTTGACGGGTAATATATGTGAATTATCCTGATTAGTTGGTCTTGGTTGCTTGTTGAAAAGTTGTCCAGCTAAATTGCCTAGCAGCTCATCGAAAAGAGAGTCGAGGTCATACTCTGACGGATCTTGGTCAGCAGTTGATGGCGAATTCTCGTGACGGAATGGATAAGAACCATGGGCGTGGTCTGGCTGAAATTTTGCGGATGTATGAGAGTATTCGTTGGGAGATTGATGAGAGTTTTTGGAAGAAAACCCTTTTGCAACTCGAGAAAGTTCAGAATTTACCTCCTCGATTGAATAACGAAACAATAATTTATGGATGGCATTCTCCAATTGTTGATTCCGTAATCCATCAAAGTTGTGTGGATTGTCATCACCAGTCTTCCGAGCTTTTGGCTTTGCATGATCTGGAGCCGGTTTTGAAGACGTGAAGCTGGGAGATACA